ATGAAAAATTATATAAGAACATTCAAAAGCTGAAGAAGCTCCTTTACGGGTGACAAATAATATTTATTTTTTATAATGAAATTCCTAGAAAAAAATAAAAATAAAAAAAGAGTTGAATGCTTAGAACATTTTTTTTATTTGGTTGTACTTTTTCTTTGAGCTTTTAGGAAACCAAAAAACTGGAGGTCTGAAAAATGTTTCAGTCAGAGCGACGGTTACAAAATGCCACGTTTAAAGTCACCAAAATCAACTTTCGCCTTCATTCTGATGCTCAGTCTCAACAGCAGGTCGCCTTGACCACTGAGATGCTGCCATGTGACTGACTGATTAAAAATTTGTATAAATGAGTGATTAAACAGCTGTACCTAACAAAGTGGCCAATGAGCGTATATCTGCTAATTAATGTAACCAAACAAACCATTTAGATTAATGTCAGACATTTTAAGGAAGGAGTGAAATGCATAAAAACCCAATAAGCCTTAAAACAGATAAGTTTATTTGTATATAAATGTATTTATTTTTTTCATTTATCTCTTGTTTGCCCCTTATATCATTTGAAAGTTATATAGATTTTTTTTCTTTGCTCAAAGGTAGTTTTTAAAAAGGAATTACTTTAAAAACTACAAGATTTCTTGCATATGTGCGCGGTGTAAAGCGGCCGGGTGCTACACGATGCCCAGATGAGTTCCGCCTTTTTAACTCCGAGAACACAAAAAGTCATTGATAGCAAATACTTTTGTTATTTTTACAAATTGAGATTAGCAGATCGTGAGAAGATGTGCGATCGTGATCTCCACCCAGCCCCACAGCGAATCAGCTGTTAGCAGATTTCTTCGCATTCCAGCTGTGTTTATTCTTACCAGCGGTTTGGTTTATATCAGCGTCCTGCAGCTGTTCAACATCTGGAGGTTTAATGTCCGGCTTTTCTTCAAACTGCAGACTCTCAGCTCTGTTATGATCAAGATAATCCACTTCATTCATGGTGTCGACTCCTCTTTAAAATAAACTGCAGGCTTGTGTGACACGAACCAGGCCTGTGCAGAATCGATCACCGCCGATCACAGTGAAACACGCCCTGGTTACATTTGTCTGTCTCGCTTTGATCCATGAACGTGTTCAAGTACTCAAAGGGGGATCGTGCTCTTCTGAATTATTTTGGAAACGAATTATTGATGTCTGCTGTGTTTTGAACAGGCATCTGCACGGACAGCTTCCCTCTTCATTCCACACAGCATCTCCACCGGCTTTTATTCGCGCTGCATTCACGCAGTTTACCCACGTTGTCATCCACTCACCTCGAAAACCATGAAACCTTTAAAACACAAGAGCACACGAAGTAATTCAGGCTATTAAAAATAAAACGGACCAGGGTTTACATGTGCGTTTTATCACGATGGTTTACTGGCCTCTAACGGCCGATCTCAAGAAGTGCATCACAACATAACGAGACGTACTGACACTTCCGGTGGGTACGTTCAAAATACAAGTTAAAGTATTAACCAGCATTAAGATTTTAACTTTGTAAAAGAAAATAACTTACTTAGGGGAGTGTCATTTTTTGTGTGTATGAAAAAATTTGCTGATACACAAAATAATGTTACAACACATCATTCTTATCTTGTAAAACAAAACCAAATGTTATGTTTTCTCTAGAGAGGGAAACAGAGATTGATTAAATATTTGGTTTTATATTTACAATCTGTTTTTATTTCTATAAACAAAAGAAACACAACTAGGACAAAATTTTCTCATGTACAGTATCAACCGTTTCTTCCTCATTTCCTTTTTTCTTCCACCCATTTATGTCTCTCTTCTTCATAGACGAGAGACTCCTCAAATTCTTCCAGGCCATCTCCTTGGCCATGCCTTTATCTCTGTATAGAGAGTACACTTTTGAAGGGCAGTAGATGTATTTCCCTGCCACTTCAGGGAAGCCCATATGAATGTGTGGGCTATTTCAGAATCAGAATCAGAATCAGAATGGGTTTATTGCCAGATGTTGAGGTTTACAACATTAGGAAATTGCTGCGGTGCTTCAGTGCAAACAATAAGAATTAAAGTGCTATGTAGAAAGAAAGATATGTGCATGAGATATACATGAGATATATACATGAGAATAAGAATTATGAGTGCTACGTAGAAAGATATATACATGAGTGCAGGTGGTGATCAGTGCCAGACATGAAATGATGCAGTGACACAGCGTAGGGTCATGTGTTAGTGGCGGGGACAATCATGTGGTTATTGTTCATGTGTCCGACAGCAGAGGGGAAGAAACTGTTCTTGTGGCGAGAGGTTCTGGTGCGAATGGACCGGAGCCTCCTGCCTGAGGGGAGCAGGTCAAACAGACTGTGTCCAGGGTGAGAAGGGTCAGCTGAGATCCGGGCTGCACGCCGCAGTGTCCTGGAGGTGTACAGGTCCTGCAGAGATGGGAGTCTGCAGCCAATCACCTTCTCAGCAGAGCGCACAACACGCTGCAGTCTCTGTTTGTCCCTGATAGTGGCTCCAGCGTACCACACGGTGATGGAGGAGGTGAGGATGGACTCGATGATTGCAGTGTAGAACTGCATCATCGTCCGTGTTGGCAGGTTGAATTTCTTCAGCTGCCTCAGGAAGTACATCCTCTGCTGGGCTTTCTTGATGACGGAGGTGATGGTGGGCTCCCACTTCAGGTCCTGGGTGATGGTGGTACCCAGGAAGCGGAATGAGTCCACAGAGGTGATGGGGGTGTCAGTCAGGGTGATGGGGGGGAGTGGAGCTGTGTGCTTCCTGAAGTCCACAATAATCTCCACTGTCTTCTGGGCATTCAGCACCAGGTTGTTGTGGCTGCACCAGGACACCAGACGTTCAACCTCCCTCCTGTAGGCAGACTCATCCCCGTCAGAGATGAGCCCAATGACGGTGGTGTCGTCTGCGAACTTGATTAGCTTGACAGACTGGTGGGTGGAGGTGCAGCAGTTGGTGTACAGGGAAAAGAGCAGAGGAGAAAGAACACAGCCCTGAGGGGAGCCGGTGCTGATGGTCCGGGAGTCCGAGACATTCTTTCCCAGCCTCACATGCTGCTTCCTGTCCGTCAGGAAGTCAGTGATCCACCGGCAGATGGGATCAGGCACATTCATCTGGGAAAGCTTGCCTCGGAGATGGTCTGGAAGGATGGTGTTGAAGGCAGAGCTGAAGTCCACAAACAGGATCCTGGCGTAGGTTCCTGGGGAGTCCAGATGCTGCAGGATGAAGTGTAGGGCCATGTTGATGGCGTCGTCTACAGACCTGTTGGCTCTATATGCAAACTGCAGGGGGTCCAGGAGGGGGGCCGTGAGGGTCTTGAGATGGGAGAGAACTAGGCGCTCAAATGACTTCATGACCACAGATGTCAGAGCCACAGGTCTGTAGTCATTTAGTCCAGTGATCCTAGGTTTCTTGGGGACAGGGATTATGGTAGAGGACTTGAAGCAGGCAGGCACATGACATGCCTGCAGTGAGGAGTTGAAGATGCCAGAAAACACTGGGGCCAGCTCGTTTGCACAGTGTCTGAGGGTGGCAGGAGACACACCGTCTGGGCCGGGAGCTGTTCCAGGTCCATGTCACAGAATCTGCAGAGGCGGCCTGTTTGTTGGGATTCTGGCCTTTTCCTCTTTTTCTCCACCCTCTTCTTGGTAGCATCCAGTTCCCTCTGTCTGAACAAAGGGGTATTTTAGGGTTATCATTCCCTTAGCAGTTTAACTTTGATGCACCTTCTTTGAACAATAGAAATACTATAGTGGATGGAGGCTCCAACTGTCTCATATTGGGACTCGGGCTAACTACAGGCAAGGTTACTCTTTGTCTGCCTTTTTCCCTCAGGCTGCTGCTGCTTTTCTAAGATGCCTTCCATAATCTTCTCTATTGAGTCTTGTGTGAGAGATGTAGACAGGGATGGAGGAGGTGGGTTAAAGACACCTGGCTCCATGGAAGACTACAGGAACATTAGTTGTGTCACTCCCTTCTGTTGAAGAGTGCCACAGTTGCTGAATCTACAGAAGTTGTTTCTGGGCTTGTGTTCAAAGAAGAACTGATGTTTAGAGGTTTACCTAAGTGCTTCACATAACAGGATATGTACAGTTTCCTTTTTTGCCCTCAGTTTAACTTTGTTGTCCTCATCCATTTCATCATTTTTGCTAGCATTAGCCCCAGCGCTAGCCAAAATGTCTCCCTCGTCATTAACTTCACTTTCTACAGTGTCCATCTCAGCCATAGATTGAACTCGTTTCTTGTTTTTTGTCTTGCCGTGTTTGTCGTTCACCATAGCCCCATCCTAGTTAGTCATTTTCTGCTGTTTATCTTGGTAGTATTTCAAGTATTCAGGGGCTTTGACAAAAAAAGACCCGGGAACAGTAGTTCAGTGGTTGTGTCTTGTTCCTTTTTTTTTCAGTGTATTACTCCCGAACCCTGATTTGATCCATATTTTCTGCACTCTGTACCCATACTTTCACACCTAGTTTTTTTAAAAAGTAAACGTGGCCACTTTTAAATAGCTCGTGACTGAATGTTTGGACTTAGAATAAATCAGGAAGATGTTAGAGTGAAAACGTAATTATAAAAATGTGAGTTTGAATTATTAATAATTAATGTGAGTGTAACAGTGGGTGCAGAGAACTGTGCTAGAAAAATTTGTTTGAGAACGGTAAAATCATCTAGAATTAATTTGCTTTTTTCATTTTCATTGGGAAATTTTTTAAATTATGAAGATTAAATTAAATTCAAACTTTTGTAAAAGAACAAAAAAACAAAACACACAAATCTAACACACTCCAAATACTCAATCTGTGGAAGTTAAATTAATTAACATGCAAATTTCCAATCCTTTATCACAGGTTACTCTGACTGTTTGTATTGTCACTCTACTTTGAAAGTCCACACCGGAAGTTTTGTACGTTCACACTGTAGTTTCTGTGTCTGACCACTGGAGGGCAGTGGAAACTGGTGGATCTCTTTATTTTAAACTGTGTTTACGATTACTCGGCTCTACCCTCGAAACAGCTGTGATTTTAAAGTATTTTCATGTTAAATAACGGCAGGTCTGTCATAAGTTTGCTCTAAATGGGCGCTTTAACCAAATGTCATACCAGAAGTGTCTGTCCCTGCCGGGACACCGTCCTTCCTGGTGTGGGTGTGGACACAGATGACTACACAAATAATGGAGGAGAATCTTCACAAGTCTGTCTCTTGAATTTAGCTTTACATTTAAGTAGTTTGCCCTCCTTTTTTGCTTTTTGGTTGAGACTTTTAGCTGGCATGCTGTGCCAGGATGGGAAATCTCTTTGGAAAAAAGAAACAAACCCGAGTGACAGAACAAGACAAAGCGATTTTGGTAAGTGTCACACAGCTAGCTCAAGTGTTAGCCTGGAATTCTGTGCTGTAAAACAGAGCGAGCTCTTGTGTGCTAATTTAACAACTTCGGTTATCGAGTAGCCCTCAGCAATATTTTATAAAGCAAAACATCTAAATGTTATTATTATTCAGGGTCTACTCTTCTGTCTTAACGTACTTAACCGCTTAATCCTCTTCGATTCGTTCTTTAAAGTGTCCTTTAAGCAAACACTGTAAGTCATTCAAATTCTAACACTGTAGTGTACTTATTTTTCTATGCCGGTATTACCGGAGGACCTTAACGTGAGCGCAGCCAGTAATAATCAGATTATAGCTGCTGTAGTTTGTGCAGACTGCTACAATTTCTAAACCTGGATCAACAAGAAGTTGGTATGGCTGAATTAGTTTGAAGCGTATCTGAGTGCAGTGCAGGTGTTTGGTTCGTTCATGTCTCTATTTCCTCATTTCAGCAACTCAAACAGCAAAGAGATAAGCTCAGGCAGTATCAAAAGAAGATCAATGTGCAGCTGGAGAAGGAGAGGCTTCTGGCCAAACAGCTGCTGAAGGATGGCAAAAAAGAGTGAGTACAGTATAATCAATGAAACCATAGTAATGATTGAAAGGAGAGTAAAGGCATATATGTTCTCAGCACAAAATATATCAATACTGCTCAATAGGGAGCGTAATACTCAGGACAGAAAGGACAGCTTCCCTGCAACTGTTCTTGCAGCTGACTTCCCAGAGTTCATTAATATAAAATTAAAATTAAGAAAAATAAAGTTTTGAAATCTGCAGTTCTGAAATGTTGTTCTAATTGATGTCTCTAAAGCTTATTTCAGGCAGAATCCTTAAAAAATAATAAATAGCGAAAAACACAAATCAAGCTGACGTCTTCAGTTGTTTTGCTTGTTTGAGCAGCTGTGAAGAATCCAAAATATTTCCTTTCACTGTCACCAAATTCAGTTTAACAGAGGGCTGAACTGGATGAAAATCACCTTCTCTCCAAACTTCTTTATCAACCTTCCTTTTGTTTTCTCTGGGTTATCTACTGCAGCTGACTGTGAGCACATGTACAGTGTTGGTGCATGTGCTCAGGGTGCTTGGACAGAGAATCAGAAACTAAACGTAAATCCAAAGCCAGTTAATAGTGGCAAGAAAGCAAATGGGATGGGAGATGGGAAAGAAGAGAGGGTTTTTTTACTGTTGCAAAAAGAATTTGGGAAGACGAGACATTTTGTGCAGCGCTTTTTTTTTTGATTGTCAATCATCTCTTACATTTCTCCCTCCTTACTACAAGCTTTAACGTGTTTATTTGAACAGGAAAGCTCTTCTCTTACTGAAGAAGAAACGCTATCAAGATCAACTCTTGGACAAGACAGAGAACCAGATAAGCAACCTGGAGCGCATGGTGAGCGATCGGCGAACTGCACTGACACTCAGCAGCGTTTAGGTGGCGCTCACAGCTCCTCCCTGTGCTCCTCGTTTCAGGTTCAAGACCTGGAATTCGCCCAGATCGAAAGGAAAGTCATCGATGGATTGAAAGTTGGAAATGAATGCCTGAAGAAAATGCATGAGGTAGGTGATGACATGTGGCCTGCAGATGCTTTTAAAATTCATCACCTGTTATTCATGAGCTGTTATCAACTCTTTTTCGCTGCAGGTGATGTCTATTGAAGAAGTAGAACGGATTATGGATGAAACTCAAGATGCCATTGAGTACCAAAGGGTAGGTCCTTTCAGCTGGTAATCGGGTTCATTTATTATTTTAGCCTCTTTTACTTCATTCTGCAAGTAGATGTGGAGAGAGTGAAAATTTAAAAGGATTTCTCAAATCTCTGTAGATTAAATTTCACAGATGTAAAATTGGTTTGTATCCACAGTCATTTCACTTTTTAAAAACTTGTCGTCTCTCTGCAGCAAATTGACGACATGCTGGCCGGCTCCTTATCTCAGGAGGATGAAGATGCTGTGCTGGCTGAACTGGAGGCAATAACTCAGGTTAGTTTAATCAGCTTTAAAAGAAAGAAAAAGAAAAGATTAGATCGCACTTTTAGCAAGCAGCACCCTGCTCTTCATTTTGATTCTGAGTTCTGACCTGTCGGATTTTGAACTTTCTCTCAGGGAGATGTCGAGCTTCCTGAGGTCCCTTCAGACAAACTGCCAGATGTTCCAGAGGCCGCGGAGGAGCAACCAGGTTTGTTGTCTCATGTTTTTCCTATCCCAGGTTCACACTGCTGCACAGTCCTGTTCAAAAAGCAAGACTGACTAAAGTTCCAACCAGAAGTCTTTCATTATCCATTGATAACTCTGTTGTCACACCTCCTCAGGTTAAGAGTCTTGGTTTTATCCTTGACAGCACTCTTTCCTTCACAGTACATATTAATAATATCACTCAGTCTTCTTCTTTTTTTTTAATCTTCATATTAACCGCCTTCATCCTTCGCTCACTCCAAACAGTACCGTCATACTTGTCAATGCACTTGTCATATTTCGTTTAGATTACTGTAATTCTCTTCTCTGTGGTCTATCTCAGAAATCTCTCCACAAACTGCACTTAGTTCAAAATATAGCTGCTCATATTATATCCAGAATTAGATCCACTGAACACGTAACAGCTGTTCTTAAACAGCTCCATTGGGTTCCCATTCACCTCCCTGTAAATTTGAAGATCCCACTTCTTACTTTATAACCTCGCTCCTCCATATTTATCTGATCCTCTCCATACGTTTTATTTTGTTGTACTAATGTAAGGTGACCTTTAAAGGCACCTGTTAATAAATATGTTATTATTATTAGTATTATTACTAATGACTTTTAGAATATGTGCATGACACTTCATAGAAAAAATCCAACAGCCATCCTCCCATCGTGTTTCATATCGCAGAGGCTGTGCTGAAACCTCAATAATATCTTCTTTCCACGACTGTAAACACTTCACCACCAGAAAGTAATTTTAGAGGAGTCAATAAATAGAATGCTTTTATTAAAAGGCTGTGCTGAGTCACCGTGGGCCCCGGTGACCTTATCACTCTGTTTAAAACTAAAACATGCAGTGTGATGAAGCTTAAATCTCGCTGCTGTCTCACGTCTTTAAAAAGGTCTTTAATGAGGTGTCTTCTTGTCACGTTGGCGCTTTATTAGATGCTTAAATGCAAAGCTCAGAAGAGAGAGGTCCTCAGAAAGCGAGGTTATTACATCTATTAACATCACGTTTTTATTCAAATAAATGGCAAAAACCTGCCCTGCAGCTGTTTGCAGCCACTACTTGCAGATTTTTGTGTCGATCATTGTTCTTTCGCTGCTGAATCAAAACGTCTGGAAAGATTCCCGTCTCATTGCCATCTTTGTGATCTTTGACTCTCAGTTAATGGTGAGGAATGGTAGAGGCACACCTGATAGGAAGTAAAAGGCTGTCAATTGTTGAAGCTTAATCACTCTGGGGACCGTTAAATTGTGTGTGTAACATGCATATAAGCGTGAAAATGCTACATTGGATTTACTAAAAATGACCTACATACATGCACTTTCTATACACATAAAAGGTAAAAGTACTCTTTATTTGAAGTAAATGTTTTAATCAATCCGAGTATATATGTGAAGAGTCTTGGTAGCCTTGGTAGTTCATAGGCAGAGTTTCTTCAAGATTACATACTCTATGGTCACTGTAACATGATTAGTACTCAGTAGATACTTTATACATGTATAATCTGTATTAGGCCTGGGCAGTGACACCCAACATCTGGTCGCTACAGAGAAGTTTGTAATTCCTTAAATGGTTGACAAGAGGCCATAAGGGGTTTTTGGGGGCAGCACCGTGTGCTTCTTTGCATCCAGTTTCACTCTACCGACGGCAAATGTCCAGCAAATCCTCGTCAACCATTCAAAAAATACAAATTTTTCCTTAGCAACCACTTGTTGCCATATGTTCGCTGACCCGTCTCTAGGCCCCTGTGGCTGAAACCTCAGTTTTGTTTCTGCATTGTTGGATCTGTGAGTTTTCTGCACTTGATCTGTGATCTCACAGCAGGTCCAGGTTGTGTGTTTTATGTTATTGGACAAGATGAAGGTGATGTTGTGTCTGCTGTCAGGTCAGGCTTCAAGAAAAATGAACTTGGGTTTTATTTTTGCATAAAAATGAGTTCACTGCAGTGAGATCAAATAAAACAATACAGAATAAAACAATTTTGGTAAGTAAAGTTCAATAAAGTAAACTAGTCTCAGCAGAGGAAAAAGCTTGGAGCATAAAATAATACATTGGTTAACCAAACTTGAAAAACTTCAGGAAGATAACTGGTGTACATGGTATGCAAACAATAGCAAGCACTGAAGCATACTAAAATGCTGTAAAATACTGTAACATTACCTATAAAGATTTAGCATGTCACGACTCTACGGCCCCTCATCCTGCTTCTTTCTCTGTCAATCTCTTTGTTTCAGAGCGGGAGCGTCCCAAGAAGAAACCGCAGCGAGAGGCGCTCGCTTTGTAGGAGCACGACTGAGGATCTTCAGCCGACAGCAGCTGGTTGCTCAAAGACCCAAAGACAGCAGCCAGTCTCAGATAACCGGGCCTCCTCCACCCCATCCAGCGGCTGTTTCTCCTCATGGGCTGCAGGTTCACACGTGAAGCGAGTCAGGACCGGTTCACCGCAGTCACAAATGCTGATTGAACCATGAAGACCTGTGAGATCAGATTATCGTGCCTAACCTTTGTTTGATTAGTTCTCTGTGTTTACCATCAGTCATTTGACATACAGTGACCTAAAGCCATGTGTGTATGTCATTTTAATTCCTCCCTCAAAATATCTTCGCCTGATGGGTAATGTTTTTAAAGAGCCAGTTCACCCAAATTACAGAAACACACATTTAGCTCTGTGCATCCAGGTCTGTGCTGCCATGCTTTCTCAGATTGTGGTGATTTTTTTTATTTTTTAGTTTTTAGTTTTTTTGCTTTACAGCTGCAGTAAGTCCAGCTGAGATTAAATTGCTTTTTTCCTGCTGTAGAATACATATATCTGTTCTGTCGTTTGTCCTGTGAGGGAGGGGTAAAAATGCAGAAGAGACATTATGATGGTGCTGTGCTCTGGCGATCTGATCCACCTTCCTGTCATCTTGTTTGCCCTCTGTGTGCTCACCAGTAACTGATACCTGTACAGCAAGTTGGAGTAAATGGAGTTAGCCCTATCTACCCTTATTGTAGACTTTGTGACCTAAACACATAGAACAAAATGATGGAGGAGTTAATTTCCAACTTTCACCATGAACAGAGCCTCCTTCACATATGGCGATAAATTGTTCACCCTAACATTTGCCTGGCTCTTTACTTTCTTTGATATATGTCGTTCTACTAATGCACTCAGCCTGTTTTTATCTGTGTAAAATCTCCCACTCAGCCTCCCTGCAACAAACGCACACATCTGGTGAAACAAAAACCTGAGGAGCGCAAAACAAGCATCTCCGCAAACATAGTAACATAGATGATGGATCGGTGATCGGTGAATGTAATAACAGAGAAACAAGCCTGGGAACCATCATTGGTCTCTGACAAGTTCACATAGAGACATTTTTCTTCCATGTATTAACTTATTTGTGATTGCAAAAAGGGATGATTAGATCTCATTTCTGCTAGTTTTTAAAAATCTTTGCTTATAAAACATTTGCATTTAGCAACAGGATGGAGGGGTACGTTGTTTTTCTTGTGATTTGAGTGAACTGATCCTTTAAAGCAGGTATAACAGAAACATAACATTTTCTCTGTAAAGTCTTTGGTGTCTTTCTCTTACCGTAAAGGCCTTCTCTTCATCTGGCTTTGCTTTCTGAGTTACTCAACCCACCCTAAAGTACCCCCCAAAAAACAAAACAAAAAAAACTATTTGCATCAGATTCGCAGAATATTCTCTCAGTCTGACCCCTTTTCAAGCAGCTTAACTAATCTAATTCCTTGCTCCCCTTGTGGATTAGTTCAGTGTCATTGGAGAAAGGGCTAATCATATCGTCTGTGGGCTTACCCCTGACGCCCAGACAACAGCTGGTAATCTCTTCAAGGTAATAACTTGACAGAACCTGGGGCTTTACCCATCAAGTATGATCAAAACTAATTATTTCAGTGTTTGCGTATGATGCTTTAGATTTTCTTACATATTCATGTTAAAGTGGTGCAAGAAGGGTGGCCTAGATCCAGAAGGCTTAAAGCTTGTGCATCTTTGAAGATCCAGCTAACTAATCTGTAAATCAGTTAATCTCACAGACAGAAACACTGATGACTAATACTGACAGTCTGCGATTCGCCAGTCCTGCTGCAAACTACTTGTCTTAAAATGGCCTCAGATATTGTACCTCTATATATTCTTTTTACAATAAAAGTGTTTTTTTATTGCCGTTCGTTATCTCACTGCCTGTAAATCACTGTTCCGATTGTTATTCAGTGAGTGAACACAAGGTGGCAGCAGATGACTCAGTTTTGAAGCTGCTGGTCTCCAGTTTTCTCTCTCCTCACTTCACAACTGACCAAGGCAGGTGGTCTCTATGTGTTGGAATAAATGGGAGTCCTTCTCTCCACTATCTCCAAATGCTTCTTATAAGGGATTCTTTCATCACTGAGCTTCTGTCTCTAATTTTGTAGGGTCCTTACATAAGGACCTTGAGATGACTGTTTTGAACTGGTGCTGTGTAAATAAAACTGAATTAGGTACACAGTTTACTGTGGGGCTTCCCTCTCATATCCAGATGAAAGTTATCTTGTAGCTAAAATGTAATATTTTGGGCCGCCTTATTTTTCTAAATCTATACCAATCAGGCATAGCATTGTGTTGGTCCCCCATTTGCTCCCCAAACAGCCCTAACCTGTCAAGGCATGGACTTAACTAGATGCCTGAAGGTGTGCTGGGGTCCAGCACATCCCAGAGATGCCCAATTGGATTAAGATCTGGGAAATACGGAGGTCAAGTCAACACTTCAAACTTGTTGTGCTCCTCAAACCATTCCTGAACCAGTTTTTGTGGCAGGGTGGATTATCATGCTGAAAGGGGCCATCAGGGAATGCTGTTCCTCTGAAAGAAGGTACATGGTTTCCAACCATGCTTAGGTAGAAGCTACATGTCAAAGTAGCATCTCAAGGTTTCCCAGCAGAACATTGCTCAAAAGAATCACATTGCCTCCACCGACTTGTCTTCTTTCCATGGTGACGTGCTGGTGCCAGGTTTTCCCCAGGTGAGCAATATCCATGCACCCAGCCATCCACGTGATGTGGAAGAAAATGGAATTCACCAGACGAGGCCACCTTCCTGCACTGGTCTGTGGTCCAGTTCATGCTTGCGTGCACATGGTTAGTGCTTTTAACAGTGGACAGGGGTCAGCACAGGCAGCCGGACTGGTCTGCAGCTCTGCATCCCCATACACAGCAAACTGTGATTCACTCTGTACTATGACACCTTTCTGTCAGAACCAGCATGAAGTTTTTCAGGAATTTCAGTAGATCCATCTGTTGGATTGGACCACATGGGCCAGCCTTCATTCCCCGTGTGCCTTCTGTTCCTTCCTTGGACCACTGTTGATAGAGGAACACTCTACTGGAGATGCCCTGACCCTGAGGACAAAATGTTAACTTGCTCCTTTATATAACCCCTCCCTCCATGAATATCCATCAGTGAATATGATAGGTATTCACTTCACCTGTCAGCGGTCATCATTTTACGTCTGATCGGTGTATGTTTAACCTATTTCCCACATCACACAAGGGGAAATGGGTCAGATGATGGCATACAAAGAAATTTGTTTCCTGCTTTGGTGTGGAGGAGCTTGAATGTCCTGCACAGATCACTTTAACGATTAAATGACAGTAATGCTTTTGTGTCCATCTGGAATGAAAAAGGCTCTGCTGACAGTGAAAAATTGAGGGTTGTAATCCAATCATTTGCTTACCCACATTGTTTTAGCCTTATGTCAATTTATTTAATTTAAATGTGAAGATATTGAAAACTTTAATAGCACAGTGTGGTGCTAATGGGGGTACAGAGGTGTGGTGCTTTACCGAATTCTATAAAATTGCATGATTTATCTTTAAAGTAACGATTGGCATTTCATCAGTGCTATAAAAGAAGGGGAGACTGTTGACGAGCCCTCACCATCCTCTTTAATTTCATCAGAGTAGGAGGCACAAGTTTAATGATCTGTGTTATTATAAATCTCAATGATTGGTCTGTTTTATGGTTTGCAACCTGATTTGTCATATTTTTGAATCAATATTAAAGATTAAAGGCCTTTAAAGTCTTAATATTAAAAAAACAAACAAAAAAACACACATAATGAATCTGTTACCCCCCCATTCTGTGGCTTCTAGCATGTATGACTAGCATGTATGAAAAGTACAGGCCCACCATGACCTTGCTCTGCTATTGTTCTGAAGGTGATCGAAGCTCATTCAGCTAAGGACAAAGCATCAGATAGATAGGGAGACATTAAATGTTCCCATCTCTAACCTTGAACCATTCTCTCCGACAAAGCCGATGTATTGACGAGTCTGAAATAGCCCGAATTGCTTTTGTTCACTTCACACTGTTTTTTTTTTTTATTTTTTATTTTTTTGAATGGACTGAATCCACTCTGACTGTGCACTACAAGCCTTTTCGGAGGTGTGTGGGAGTGGGCGGCGCACAGACTGAATGTCAGAGCGCCGCGCTTGCTGATGAATCACAGACGTGGATCTAAAGCTGAGAGAAAAAGCCTGAGAGGACGATGATGAGTAGGCTTCACATGAAACGCTGCTGAATAAATGCTTCAGGTATGTAGGTGTGTATGTGTAACCTGCCCACCCGGAGTCTTGCCTACCTGATTACACCCCCACTGTACTGAATATACACACATGCAGAACTTTACTGAAGTGAAATGTCATTTTCAACAAGTTTATTTAAAGGCCCCAGTCCTAAAGGACAATTTTAAGTACTTTGTTTCCAAATTCTGACAAGTCACTTAATTTTTACACTGTTTCCTGTGTTCCCCTTTCAGTTGCCCGTTCACTTCCTATCATCTCTCCATTTTTGGCTGTCTAATAAAAGGATGAAAAGCCCCAGATTTATGAATAAAATGTCTCTAAATCAATAATTAGCTCACTAAAATGTTTTAAATGCTTAAAATGGACAAAAATACATTGGAAAGACATTACTTCTGGGCTGGTGCCTTCAGGTATGCTGATTGAAGCCACGTGGATACAGCTTCATATAATAGACCATGGATATACCACTCTGAGTGTCATCACAGTCCAATCTTAGCTTTTTTGAAACCAGAGGTCATGAAAATGTGTTAAATCTGACATAAATATGTAAACTGACACTACATCCTCATGCAGTAACAGGTCATCTGTTATAAAGTGAGCATACCCTAATTTGTTCCCTGTTTTATTTACCTGTTTGACACTGACAGAGATCATAGCTGACATATAAAGATCATGCTGTGTAAAAAAAACCCATAAATTTGTCTGGAAAATCGTCAGCCTGTAAATTCATGAGATCACAGACCAAAGGAGCCAACGACTGTTTACTTCCATACAATCAGGCCTCCCATTTGCAACCAGATGTGTTGCTCCACGCTGGTTTTTATCAAGACTGCATGGTTAAATGGCCTTCATTTTCAGATCCAGAATCTGCATTGATCTCATAAGACAGCTCATAAGCGGTTTCATATGTTATATATTTAGAATAATACCAATCTTATCCTGCCAAAAACGTCACATCTCATAGATGTTTATTTTGTGGTTTGAACCCCAGCCTCAAGTAGAACCCAGTTTAAACCAAAAGAAAATTTAAAAAGTATGTGTAAAGGAACAACCTTCAGCAAACCAATGTACTAACTGAGACTATTTTTAGGGGCTATATGCTCATTTTGGATTAAATGCCAGAAATTTGTATCAGGGGCATCAAAAGACTGGATAAGTTTAATGGTTAAATGCTTTGTGTTGTTGTTGTTGTCATTTTATTAGTTTCAGGTCATCATTTTTGCCACTTCACGCCTGAGTTCAGTCTTAAGCCTCCAGCTTTGTTTATTTCTCAAACTACCCATAATTAATAATCAATGTCTTAATTAATTTGTGTACAATTATACTTCAGAATAGGTTGGATGTCAGCAAACATAATGGCAGCTCACATTCAATTACGGAAACTAATTGTGGGGATTGAATATTCACAGAGGACTAAATCAATAGCCTCGCTGACAGTGGGAAGGCTGCTGTTTGCTCCAGTGAAGACCAAACATGCCTGATTGATTTCCACTAACTGTCTGCAGTTTGGTTTCCTCGGGACTCGCTCTAATCGGATGTGATGAACAAAACAAAATAAGTCTGTTCTGGTAGAGATCCACGGTGCCACTTTATTATCTGGTCTACAAGCTGCTCTATCTCACTAAACGAGAGAAAAAAAAGTGTTGCAGAAAAGAAAAAGGCATGACTGTCCTCTTTCGCACTTATCTTCTGTTATCTTCTGCTTCTGTCTCTTTTCTTTAAATACATCCCCATTCAGCAGCTCTCAGATCGTGATGTGTGGGATTTCCCGGCCCACAATCCAGGGCTTACAAATCCAAGTAAATGTGGCTCCATCCCACTCATACCAACCAGAGCCCACTCACCCAACCGCCACACAAATATAGAGCAGGCACACATATGGGGCCACGGTAAAATCTTTCTCTGTTGTGGGTTTATTAAAACTTACATTTTCACAAAACAAACACACAAAAAAACCCTTTCCATTATCTTACAGCCCCTTTTATGTAGAGGGAAGACTGAGCCGGAGGGTCTAAATGACTGAAATAATAAACACAGACTGAATAAATCACTATAAGAATAGGGATACTGGAAAATGTAATATTTGTACCGACTAAATGGATGAAGATTGTTGCAGTTTCTGTATGGAGCTGCTCAGTCAGGTCTTGTGAATGGTTGTAGCAGAGGAGGCGTGGGGTGGCTGACACAGCAGAGCAGGTGTGGCTTCTTTAAAAGCCGTGCTGCATTTCTAGACTCAGTGCAAAGCATCATAACACAAGAGCACACTGCCTGGTGGTTTCAGTCATGATGACTTACAATATTAATAATAATAACACAAATTATTGGCTAGAGGGCGAAGGAATCAGGTTTTATTACAATTATCATGAAAAAAAAGATGCCTGATTACTGATAACTGAAACAAAAAAAATCACCCGACTTCAAGTCTTTAATGTCAAACAAGCTGTCTATACTCCCAAAAAGAAAAAAAAGGTGACTCCTATAAAGTCTGTCAAACAGTACAAACCAGCCTTTACATTTTAAATGAGATTAGTGCTTTTTAGTAGGAGGAACTCAGCAGTGAAACCACCTGTCAGATTACCAACAGGGAAAAGCAGCTTCTAAAGCCATGAAAGAAAGCGTGTCAAAGTGTCTGTGCTAATTTAATTAAAAACTGTATTTTACTGCTAAATCTATCCATACATCCATCTATTCACCTCCACTTATCTAATTCAGGTTTGTGGGGGGCTGGAGACTTATCCCAGCTATCATAGAATAAGGTGTGGAGTACAGCTTGGACAAGCTGCCGCACTGTCAGGGGCTCTGCTGTATCCAGCTAAATCAGAATATAAGGACCAACTGATTGATGTCATGATGACGATTTTAGGGTGGGTTCTTTCAGGGATGTTTACGTGATTTTTTTTATGTGGGGCCCATCCATTTTCTTTGTGTATCCAGTTCGTGGTTGCAGCTGGGCCAGAGCCCATCCCAGCTGTCATAGGACAAGAGGCAGGATACAGCCCAGACAGGCTGCCAATATATGGCAGGATTAACACAGAGAGACAGGAAACCGTTCACCCTCACACATTCACACCTACACCCAAGTCCCCAGTTAACCTAATGCACGTCTTTGGAAGGATGAAGCTGGACTACCAGAGAGGAACCAACCCAGATTTGGGGGACACTGATTAACTGTATTTAGGAGGACCACACCTTTTCTCCATACCTCCTCTGCCGTTTTGGGGTAGCACAGGTTTGGGGGTCCAAGCAAATTTTACGGAGGCCAGTGCTACACCTGGACTCCATTTTGGCTCCGTCCTTGCTTTGTTCTCTTTTAGATCCACATGCCAAAATCCAGTTTTGAGATTTTTTAACAGAGCGTATTTCTTATTTTTAAATTAAATTAATGTCTGCTTATTGTTAGGCTAACATCCGTTTTATCCTTCCCCCAGGCTTCAATGTGATACGCTGGAGAATGATGGCTCCTGCCGCTTCATCCTTATGTACTGTTGTAATTTAGGTCGCAAGTTACTCTATTTCCCACCGCCCTTGAAAGCAGCACCGCCCCTCTCAGAGTGAGTCCGCCTCTGCGCTCCAACCGAGAGGTACCGACTGACTGACTGGCTGCGTGGGGAGCCGGTGTGGGCGCAGCGGAGGACTTTCCTATAAAAGCAGGGATCCCACGACCAGACGCGCTCTTCTCTCTCAGTGAACGGCAGACAGGAGCCGCTCTTTCCCGCGAACAGCTGTTTCATTCCCCTTGTTACAGTTCGGAAAACCCTCCCAGCCTCATCCGAAAGGAAATCTTAGTCTATGGTTCTGACTGACACGCCTACAAGGATGTCCCGGACCGACGAGGTGCACCGTATAACGGAGAATGTCTACAAGGTAAGCCGGGCTCTTTGGTAGTTTGTTTCGGATCCGCCGACCGTGCGTCCTTCTGCCGCTCGGAGACACCTGCTGCACCGGTGAACCGCGGCGTTTAGAGGACGCGCTCAGAGGAGAGACAGCGGATAACTTTGTCTCAGCTGACCTGCACTGTGTCTTACCACTGTAGTAATAGAAGTGCCGGTTTATATATGCTGTGAAGGAATTTACTGATAAAGGAAATGCGTCCTGAACAGCTCAAGTTTATTCATCGTTTTCCTACAGCTGATGCTCTGAGTTTGAACTGTTGGAGACGGATTTTAGTCTCAAAATTCTTACAGGTGAATAATTTGTCCTGTTTTAGCCTATAACGTGTTATAAGTGATAATAAATCAGAGTCAGACCAGTCAAATCAGCAAAGTCACTTTACAGCGATTAATAATGTTAGGAGTAACAAATTCCAGGTAGATAATCAATGACTCGAGGTGTAATTGATTTAAATTGCTTGGCACGGAGTATTTGATTTGCCTTAGGGTTGAGGGAAAGGGTTGAACTGTGCCCAATGCTACAATGCTACATTTGCAATAATGATGAGGGAGCCAGTTATGTAAATGCTGCAAACTGACAGTTTGCCCTGGGGTGATTTATTTCAACACTATGCAGAGCAGAAGCTGTCAGCCTCAGTGGTAAATCCTGCTGTGAGCAGGTGAACTTGACATTATCTGCCTCAGTGAGACTGATCATTAATTTATGGAGTCTGCGCATCCTAAAAGGGGTCCCCGTTGGTCCCAGCAGTCTTCACATTTGGGCTTTTTTTCTTAAGGTGTCTGTGCTGTTGATAGTTGGATCACTTCAGAGAGAAAGGACAGAGTCATTATCAGCATGGTGGTATTTGTAAAAGTCAACTGTAATTTTGCACTCTGGATGCCCCAAATTGGCGTTCAATTTGGGATCTGAAATGCTGGTTGGAAAAGTCATGCTCAAGGTTTTGCTCTGCAGAAAAGAAAACAAACTGCTTCTCGGTGTCAGAGGTTTCTTAAATATCTCAGCATGCGCTGAGCAGACCACCCTGCACTTGTTGAAAGATGAGAGGCAAAACGTGGCAAATGATTATGTCCTCCATTTTTATTTCCACAACAAAGCCCCTTTTCAGCAGTGTCTGTGGTGGAGGTGGAGAAGTGTTACTCTTGACTTTCACTGCACTCAGGGCAGCTTTCCAGGCGAGGTAGATTTCAGCAATGGAAGTACGACAAGGGCTTTCCTTTTATGTGAGGAGACTTGTCACCGTTCCATACGCCTCCACAAAAATGCTCAGAGAGAAGAGTCGGAGTGCCTAAAAGCTTCTTCGTGCAGGACACGACTTGGTGGATGCAGGAGGAGAAGGGCATGTGTGCTTACTGAGCCAAAGGTGTACTTGAAGGGGGGTTTGGTTCAGCGAGAGTTCATGGTTCCTTGTGTGACAGAGGCGGGATGGTGTAACATGACATTACCATTTAGGCTGCCAAGGAAATGATAGGAATTTTTTCAGACTGGGGCTGACTTCAGCCAACACACAGATACACAAACCCTCAAAAGACTCTAACAAGGGATCAGAGGGGCACAAGCAGGAGGCTAGCTGCCTTATGTTGCGACCTGTGGGTGGGTTCTATAGCCTGAGCTGGATAGAAAACTGCAGAGAGGAGGAGGAGGAGGAGGTGGAAGATGATGAAGGAGGATAGGTAAAAAAAATGGTGGTTGCGTGATGGAGAAGTGGGCAGTCTTGTGATAGGTTTATTAGTCAGTTGATGACAAATTATCTTACTATAAATACTATAAATACAATACTTTAAATTGCATTTCTGATGTGATACTGATACCTTCTACTAATCTGATCCCGGGGTTACATTAACAAGCTGTCCCTCCAGAGCCTAGCTTTGTGACTTCAAACACACCAAATCAATGCATATTGTTAAATATATTCATTCATATTTAAAAGCAAAATAATGAAAGACAACTTAGTAAAGATTTTAAAAAGTGTTTTGCACTAGTTTGTTTTTAGCTCAGTGTGAGAGTCTTTACTGCCTAGAAAGCCACAAGAGATTACGCCGCATGTTTACAACAGAAGAGTTTAATGTCAAATACTCTTCCTGATGCAACCCCAAAGGGAATTTGTGTCTGTGGTGAATGTGTTAACCGCTAAACCAGGGATGTTTCATTTTGCATCAAGGCCACATGCAGCCCCCTTTATTTAGTTTTTACTGGGGTGAAGCAGTAAAACTGCCCTTTCTGTCAGTGTAAAGAGGTTTATCTGCACAGTTAATCCCCAGAATATCTTAATAATATGAAAAAGAAGTGCACTTGCAACAGAACATCTCAGTTTTCCTACATAATAAAGAAATGCCGCTGTAGTAAATCTGTCAGCACATTTCTTTGGCCTTAAATCTTTGCTTAATGGTGATGGGGGTGGTCTTCTTTATCTGCGAAGTGGTCCAGTAGGCCAGATTGGAGCAGGCCTTATGTTTGATACCCCCCACTACACCATTGGAAAGACATGTACAGCATGGTGATGTTAATTGCAGCCATTTTAGTCTCTCCTTCCTCTGTGATTGCACCTCCTCACACACGGAGTGGAGCAGACAAGGAAATGAAACGCCTCCAAACTGCTGACTCTTTGCTGTTCCCTTTCCCCACACTCTCGCTCCTGCTGAGGTGTGTCGTAGTAAAAACAGAACTGACCTGATGTGACTGGACAGCTCCGTTGATTGACTCCGTTTTTAAAAGAAGTTTTTGTTGGATAAGTCAGGCAAACCGAATGTGCCGCTGACCCTTTGGTCATAAGAAATGTCAGATAAACTGCCAAATGTTTATCACAAGTAAACTTATGTTGGATTAAAAAGATGAAAAAGAAAAAATGTGACCATCAGTTTCAGCTTCTGTGAAAATCTGTGTTAGGATGCGGTTTTGTCTTGTCCAAAGAACGCCCTGCTCAGGGGTCGGGTATGAAAATGCCAACCTGCAGAAATGCAGCTCTGGGTTTTCTTCCTGTCATCAGCAGGCTGAAGCAGAGCGCTGCTGCCAGTCTGACCCCTGATGGGGGGCTGACTGTAGGAGGCTGATGCTCACTGGTGTGGCAGTTGGTAGTGTAATGGCAGGCCTATTGCTGGTCCAATGAGCTTTGTGTGGGACTGCTAAAGAAACTAACAGGTCTTTATTAATTCATTATAAGCATGGAAGATGAAAAGGCCTGAAGGTGCTCGCTTCAACGCTCACGTCTGTTTCTCCACCGAGGAAAGAAGACGCAGACAGGATGACAGGAATGCACTCCTGTGGTGTTAGGATGGTGATCATCTCTTACAGAACATGATATTGTGGTAAAGTGTCTAACAGCATGTACCCACAGAGGGCATGCCTCTGTGTAAAGTCCCCAGTTTAAATTAGACTTTGACTTGCCTTTAATGATTGAAAACTACACCAATTCAGTGATGCACATTCATAGACGATTAGCTGAGAGGCTGATTGAATCTTATCATGTTCTGGTTATGTCCAGGTTATTCCACCTTTTCCTCAGACTGAGTATTTGCATGTTTTAGTAAGTGTGTTTGAAAAAGCTTTATTAGTTATTGATATGAAGTGGATACAATTTATAGAACAGAAAACAGTCCGAGAAAGGTGTTATTTGTACTTTGGGGAAAAAAATACTTCTTTTTGTTTTAATGTGTCAGTGTTGGTGAGCGGCTGCCTTTAATTGCCACATGGAGGTGGATTTAATTATGAGTGGAGAAAGGTCACCCATTATTCTGCTCAATGGTGGCCAAAGACTAAAACGTGAGTGTTTATTTAGAAAGTTTATGTTCCTCCATTGTGCATCGTACTTGGTAACAAGCAGTTATGAAGAGAATCCCTCTTCCCCCAGAAGACATCCATGGCAGGTGAGTGCTTTAAGAAAGTAATAAGAAAATAACCTGTGTATGCTCTTTTGGAATAACAATAAAGCATTCATCATCTCCATCTAGTTGACTTGAGGAGTGACAGTAATGGTTTTGCTCTGCAGCTCGCACAACAAGTGTGATAAGCTGCTGCAGTCCAAGATGCTCTTTAGCAGCGGCTGAACTTTGAAAATACAACTTTGAGGACTGTCTGCTAGTAATTTGATGTTGTTCTTTTATAGGGTTGAAAACTGTAATTAAATTACAGATGTCATTGTGAAGCTGTTAACACACCTCCAAGAGTATTATGTGGTAAATACGATGGTTGTTTTTAATCCTTTGTGTTTCTAGCACACAATGACCCTTTGGTGGATGAACGCTGGTTTTGTTTTCTCTGCCTCCTGTTGTTTTCTTTGTTTGCCTGACTGTTAGCTGCCGGAGCAAAATAAGTTGGACTCAACAGCAGAAGACCAAAGTCTTAACCTCTCTGCTCTGCTGCTGAAATGCAAGATGCTGAATCTAATTTTTGGATGACTCACATCAGTGGATGCGAGTGAGTGTGTGTGGGCAGTAGTGCCTCATGACTATATGTGTGTGTTTCACTTGTTTGTCAGCTCCCGTACTGTACTGCGAGAGTGGCTGGCACTGTGCGTTTTGTTTTTTTCTGATGTGAGATTGCACATCATCACAGAGCCAAACTATGAAGTGAAGTTATCGGTCTGTGTGGATTGAAATGTCAAGAAAAAAGTCCCAGAGGACTGTGTGTAGATACTACACGGAGACGCGTTTGCTACCCACTGACAGTGTGTGTACACTGTGTTTCCTCGGGTTGTTGTGGTTGCTGAACAAATGCCATCTGTATGTTTGATCAGGAGTGTATTCAGCCAAGCATTGTAATCCCAGGAGTACTGCAGGCTCAGGTTGTTGAATGAAGCTCGAGTGTCAGGGCGAGGCTGCCTCGATTGTTTCAGGTGTTTGATGGTGAGAGTGGACTAAAGGGAGATCAGTAGGTCAGTTGATGTTTTTTTGTGGTGTGTTTGTGGTATTTGTATATGCATTGAGCCATTTTAAAGTTTTTCTACTGGCCACACAGCACAAGTTGTGTGTTTGAAAGAC